GAGACAGAGTTCCTCTTCCAAGGCAGAGAAATAATTCAGCCCGCCAGTAGCCCAGAAGAGCAGAGTGAGGTTGAGGTGCTTAGAGCATAGAACAGAGCCCCAACCTGCCACGGTTTACATCATCAACTCTTTGATGCACTTGAATAGGAGTAAACAGGAAGTCTGGCTCCAAGATGTTGGAGAAAAGTAATTTTTGCTGTCATCTTACAAGCAATGGCTGAGTAGTGGGAACAGAGCAACCATGTCAGGAAGGGACAGAAATGGATTTACCATGAACCCAAAGAAACTTAAGCTTCACTAACTTGGGCCCTTCAGGTCCAGGAAGATGCCCTAGCAATTTTGTATTCATGACTTTGAGGTTTTGGAGTTTTTTTCTTAAAGAGTTTCCCTCAAATTGTAGTTTAGGCTGTACAAAACCCTTAAAATTGGGATGTGCTAAACAGTCTAGAACCCTCGAGAAATGCCTCATAAATGTCACTGACTAGATTTATTAGATATTAAAAGTCAAATGAGCACTGTTTGGCCATCCTTGATATTCATTAAATGTATCACTTAGACTATTAGAAGTAGAAGTGATAGTGTTTAACTCTTCACAGTCTAAGTAATAGACCTTCTTTTCATACCAATACTTAGAATTTCTTTCCTCTTCTCTTGAATTCGAAGTTTCTACTGAAATTATATTTCTGCATAAAAAGTGTAACTTCAGAAGCAGTTATACTATCTTGTATACTTGTTGCATGTTCATGCCCCAGAAATACGCTATGGAATTCAAAACCATGAAGACCTTGATTTTTACTTAGATGGAGATTTATCATTATTTGTGAGATATGTCCAGTATGGTTTCACTTTAAAACCACAAATAAAGTTTTAACAATGGGCATTTTTCTCATTGGGAAGTCTGTGGTCAAATTAAACATCTCTCTGAAACTGATTAGGTCCTGAGGCTTTCAAATTCAATATTCGGCAAATACAGAGCATTTGTTTGAACATAAGAAATAATGAAGAGCTTCAGAGTTAATGCAATTCTGAACCTGCTCCTCTTTTCTGATGACACGATAATCGGCCATAAACTCCTCTGGTCTCAGGTCTCACCATATTTAAGACTGAGGCAGAATAAATCACATACAATTAATCTTTGGAGGACCTAGGCAACTTTGCTTTAGGTTTTACAACAAGAAGTTCTTTCTTTGCTAGTAGTTAACTAGTGAAATTTTTTAATGTTATTAAATGCTTTATTTCTTCTTTCTCACTCCCAACTATTCTCAATCCAGAAAAATAGACACATGGTCATTCTGTGAAGACAAAGGAACATTGAATAGTTAATTATATAACAGATAGAACTGTCTATTGTGTATTCATTCTTGTAATGAGTCACTAGAGGGTAAATTAGCATATTTGGTTCATAATCTTATGAAATAGAATTTTTTTTTTAGCAGTTTCACAGTTTGTGTAATAACCATCATACTTCATGGAAAATTTGACTCAAAATAACACAAAACTCTGAATAATGTGAAGGAGACTGTTCTACTAACATCCACATGGGCTAGGTATCTCCACTGATGAGATGTATTTAGTAATGTCTAAAATCCACTTTTCCTGTATAACCACAGTATCATCCTACTCCAAGGAATTGCATTTGCTTCCTTAGAACTGAACACTCTTCCAAAGATAGGCCTAAAATGAAATAGGCAGAAGTCATTGAATTGTTTCTGTAGCATTTTCATTGCTGGAAGGGACCTCTAGAGGTCACCTAGTTCGTCCTGATCTCCAGCCTGGGCTCTCCCTACTACTGAATATAGCTGTATAGAGATCTGCATTAAGAAAGCTTTTAAAGATCCCTGGGGTTGGTCAAAAAATAGCTAATATTGGCCTGATTCATAGAACAGCATTATACGTATGTCAAAATAGCCACCTTCATCAGGGAAAACATCCATCAGGGCTAAGTGCTAGTAGTAGCTTCAAAAGGAAAAGCTTTATTTTCTCAGAGAAAAGGGTGGTAGATTAAGGAAATGACCAAGCGTGTTGGTATTTTTTTGTTTAGGTGTACATTTGAACGCTTATCTAAAAGGAAACATTGTCTTGTCAAAGACCACTGCAGGGGAAGCCAGGAGGTAGCTGTAAGCATGCAGATTACCACTCCTTAACAAGTCTTTTCAAACAGTACAGAGCTCAGAGGGGGGCTGTTGTCTCAAACAAGATCTGATTAGCATCAAGTTAGTGAAGGGCAGAGGGTGAAACATAAGAATAATATTGACAGACCTGCTTTCTAAGTTGTATCTTTTCCCCCTAATCAGCTGAGTTTGCTAAAGCTGATAATTTAATTTCTTCAAACCCACATAACTGGAGTGCAAAGGACAGGAATTTAAGTGTAATTTCAATCTAAGAAAATAAATCACTTTACTGTTTTATGGGAAAAGGAATCCTCCACAATTATTAGACATCTGAATTTTGGGGTTTGAAGTACTACAGGAGAATCTAGAAATCCAGCTAGGAGGGCTGAGGCTCTCATCTGAATTATTTTGGGCTTTCAAGTCTTTCACTTGAATTATACAGAGAATTTAAGGATATAGCTATAGTTATCTATAAACTGAGAAAAATGACCTGCCCTGACAGTTGTCCCAAATAACCACTTGATTTGTGTATTAACATTGCACTTTTTCAAATAATTCATGTACAGGTTACATAAAAGCCTGTTCAACCGTGGTGGCCTTCAGGGTTGGGAACTGGGGGCTGGGTGGAGAGACAAAGTTTGAGGGGTTTTGCCACATGCCCTCTTGCCAACTTTCAAATTTTGTGCTTGTACTTCTTCCAAAGAATTCATTTGAAAATATTTCATTTTTAAAAACAAAAAGACCCCTCTGTGCTCTCTTACAAGGGTAGATGCTCAGTCTGGGTTACAGGAAGTGGAAAGCTCCGACTACTGGCCTCTCCCAGCCTCCTTTGTAATTCTTCACTTTGCAAATGAGAATTCAGACGTTGAGACTTTTTGATGCGCAGCTGCCTTTTTCAGAGAACACTAACCAACTAACACAGACTTCAAGTTGCCCTTCCTCTTCCTTTTGAGAGCAGGAGACAAAAGAACAAAGAAACTCTCTGCTATATCTCCTTGGCTTTACAACACTCCCACAGTGGACGCCTCAATTTCATGTGCCATCTATATATGCCATAAAGGTAGGGCACTGAAGGTAAGGAAATACTTCCATATTTGGGAAGATATTGGGCATAGTAGGGGTTTTTTTCCTCCCTTAAACTGTTCAGAAAATTGTCCCCAACTTGTTTGCATACACAACCTCTAAAAAGTATTGTTTTTACAGTTGTCAACCTAACAAATTCCCATAGCAGAATTGAGAAGTTCAAAATAGAAGAAACCTAATCATCTTTAAAGAAAGATAATCAAAATGAAAGGAGCATAAGGAAAAGGGGTAGCAGATTCTGTAATTTTTATTACAAAAAAAAGTTCAAATCCTTTACATGCTATGACATTAAATGTCACATGTAAGTTCATTGCAAGCAAACTTTTAAAAAATATACATACTGTATGTATTTACATTCAAGTTTGAGTAACTGGAGTCAAGGTGTGGTTCAGGATCTCTACCCACCCTGTAGATTTGTTCAGCCACTAACTTAACAGTGATTGTATCTTCACTCAGGCACGTGGAGAGGTAGAAACCGCTTTTTAAAGAGAGAACAAAAAAAACTGTAGTGCAGATATGAAGATCATCATTGAAGCAGCTTAGCTACATCCAGGAGGCCCTAACTCTAACTAGCTTTGGTCAACTCTAGAAGCTGAATACATATAGCCTTGTCTTTTAAATTAAAACCAGATAAAACTTCGGGTAGCTGCTCTTCTGAGCACATCAGGGGGTTGGCAGAGCTCAGTAAGGAATGCTCTACCACTCTGCACTCAAGAATTGTGAGAATTGCGTATGACTAAGTTAGGCAACATAGCAGCAGGGGTGAGCTGGTGGCTCAGCACCTTTTCCCTGATAAGAAACAAATAATAAACAAATGAGTGACTTTAGACTTCAAGTTATTATCTGTACACCCATGGTCTGGAACTCAGAAGCCGACTAAGATACTTCCTCTCCCAAATGAAACCTCAATTATTTCTGTCCATGCCCACCTCCATTCCAAACTGAGCTGGCAAGTCTAGGTAGAGGTGGGTAGCCTATGAATGCTGCAGGCCGCGGTTCCTCAGCCTCATGACTAAACCTCATGAAGGTTCTTGGGCCTGAGAAGGGCTTCCCGGGTTTTTGCCAGACTTGGTGGGGCTCGTAGCTGAGAGGGTTAGTTGGAGGGAAACCACAGGGGTGGTGGAGGGCAGAAGCCCTTCTCGTTCCCTCTTCTTCTGTTTCATCCTGCGGTTCTGGAACCAGATTTTGACTTGGGTGTCATTCAGCTGCAGTGAGTTGGCTATCTCGATGCGTCGGGCCCGAGTTAAGTACTTATTGAAATGAAACTCTTTCTCCAGTTCTGTCAGTTGCTTGGTGCTGAAATTCGTGCGGATCGCGCTGGAGGAGCTGGCAGCTCCATACTCGGCGAGTTTGCCTGCAACGTAAAGACAGGGCGTCAGCGGGGCGTGAGGACGCGATGGCAGGCCTCGGGGGATCCTTGGGGCTACATGAGAATCAAAGTCACAGCGCAGCCCTCCTGGGTCTCTGAACACAGTTGTGCTGGGAGAAAATCTCCACGGAGGGCTTCTTCCTGCAGTTTTCTTTACACCTGGCACTCGGAGCACGCCCAAGTGATTCGCCTACTTTAGTAATGCCCGGGCCGCGTTCTCCCGATAAAACCCAAACTGCGGTCCAGAGAAACAGCTTTGGTGCGCTCCCGGCACAATTCCGCCGGGCAAACTCCGTCCCCACCCCTAGTTGGGTCCGTCGGTCCAGGGCCCAAGTACTTACTTTTCTTCGGGGCGTTCCTTTTCACTTTCATCCACTCGAACGTGCTGAAGGCGGCCGGGAGGCCGGAGGCCGGGGACGCGGACTTAGGGTAGGCGCCAGGAGCGGGGGAAGCGGTCTGGAAGGCCCCGGAGTGGCCGTCGGCCGGCTCTTTGAGACACGCCGGGAAGGGGCTGGGCTCGCTGAAGGCCGCGAAATCCACCTGGCCGCTGAGGAGGAAGGAGCCGCTGCCCGAGAAGACGGCCGAGGTGGCGTAGTGGACGTGTGCCCCGCCGTCGTCGGCCGGCCGCC